CTAATTGGTACAAAAAAAGGGACGTGAGATGCCTCTTGTTGAGAACGAATTATATATGTAAAGCTTAAACTTGGCAGCGTTTACTTAACGTTGCAGATGGAGTATGGGTGTCAGCAGCATTGCGGTTTGGAATATCATGTGAGGTATCGACATGGTGTTTGAACATCTGTTTATTGCCAGAGAGGGTAAAACCTATTCCTATTTTTCACGCTGAGATTTGAAATAGTTTTGCGAATCGATGTGTCTTCATGACTGAGGATGTGAATAGTCGATACGACAGAAGAGTATGTGCAGTACTGCACTGTGATATTTATTTTTCATATATATAACGTTAACCATTTGCAACTTAAATGAAAGGATCATAAAGGCTTTCGCCGCCGTCATCATCGTATAGGATAGTGTCAAATACTCGTGGATTTTACCGTAATATGTTAACATTATAAGGGTAAACATGCAATGGAGCTGATTATGTGTTTTATATGTCCTTAAACATTATTAGATAGACCAAGCTGATGTTGCATTAAAAAACGATTTTAATACTTAAAGGTTGTGTTTTTTTTTAAATGTATTAGCCATTGATATCTAGGTATTCAGCAGTTCGTATTCACGGATAATTTAGAAATTCTGCATTAACATGAATGCTATATATGTGATTTCCAAATAACCTTTGCATTACAAATCACAGTTGTTCATATGCATAATGAGTGCAGCGGTAGCAAAGTGGTTAGTGCACTGCGCGAGTTTGATTCCTGGCCATAGCTATCATGAGTAGCTGGCGAGTGATATCTGAACCGGTCTTGAGCCCACTTTTATGAAACCACAATGACCAGCGTGGTGAAGTATAGTCAAGCAACCCCCATCACCGACACGGCATGTTTTAGGCTTTCATCCAGCAGTGGATTTACAAAGAGCTCTAACATTATTATGAATGTGCGTGACACTATGAACACAGCAGAGCATTTATCGATATTAAAATGAATGTCCATTGTCTTAATATTCCTTCAGATTTGCTGTTGATCCTGGGAGCCAAGGCACTGGATCAATAAAACCTTCTCAAGACCCAAATTAAGGTCAACAAATGTTTTTTCAGATGGCAGTACCAGGTGTATGAAATATGCAATAGATCGGATGAACTATCTTATTTCTCTATGCCATTGCTTATTATTTACTTGCCAAGTAAAAAAACTCAACTATGAAAAAAACTTGGCCTGGAAAGTTTTGACCAACATGAACAAAATGTACTTGTCATTTGTGACTTTTAGTCAGCTTTGTAATGACAACGGGTGATTGAAACCGTAGCATTAACTGGAAGGTGACTCAATACAAAATTGAGGTATATAAATGAGTTGAGAAATACAAATATTAAATAATAACAGAATTGGCTATGCAAAGTGCTGTAAGCGCAACTTTACATTGTCTATATAGCGAACACTAAAGTTAATGTGCACTCATTTATATATATATGCTGTATGTATATAATGGCCTGTACTGTATGCGTAGTCTGTAAGTTTCGTTATGCTCGTGTATACCCAAAAGTCTCCCGTGCTCAATGCTCCCAATGATCTCAGTAGGCACTCGCTTAGTTCCAAATAAGGACTGTAGAGTGATTTGTGTACAATTGTGGCTTTTGTTGATAAATCATGGGAATGGGTCATTTCGGGAGGCCTTTTATCTGACAGGTGAATTCGTCTACTCGATTGCTCGTATCACGGAGTTTTGCGAATAACCTGGTGTGTTTAAACATGGTAGCGTGCTTCCAATCTATGCTTTGTTATTCAAGTAAGTGCTGCTCAGTGAAATAAACGTTGTTTTGAAAATAATAAATGACGGATAGACTGTGAACGCCCTTTAGAAAAACGCAGCCTACTCGTGAACAAGAAAAAGCATCTTATACATCCGAATTTTTGCACATGTAATTTATAGTGCATATAGCATGTAGTGAATACATGTTGAGGATACGGATCTGCGTTTGTGTGAGGCTGAAAATGCGAACGGCTCTCAAGAGCGCCGTTCAACAAATGCAGAATGTATGTCTGTTGAACTATTTTCGCGCCGTGCATAGCAGCCAAGCGTGCAAATCGGAGGTGCGGGGCAACTGATCTAGCGGTGCGAAAAGAAAATATAAACAACCAATTAACAAAAAAAAACCCCTGAAGCAATGGAGCAGAAGTGTCCAACGATGTCTTCACCACAGCACGCCCGACCGTGACGCCTACCCGGGCAACCTGAGGATGCCGAACGCCGACGACTTTCCAGCTCCAATCAGAGTGGCTATGTAATTGTCACTTAATATACGTGATTCATTGTTGAGTGACTTGCTTCGATTTCCTATATTTTGCACTCCTATCATTTTGTGTGTGTGGGGGGGTGGGGGGGGAGGTTTGCTGCATTGATTGTTGTTGTAAAATTTCTGACCTTAGCCCCGACTGGACATTTGTGAAATAGAGCTTCGTAGCTCATCGGATTTATTTTCAGGATGAATAAAGATTACGGGCAACTTTTAAATAAGAGAGATTTCGTATAGGAAAATGTTAAGTTGTACAGGTTTAAATACGTTTTGATTTGAAGAAACCAAGTTATCTCTGTTTAACACATTGCAATTTATATGCATTCATTAACCCCCCCCCCCCCCCCCTTCGCACAAGAAGGGCTCACAAGTGACAACATCACACATCTGTCCTTCTATTTAAGGAACGAAACAGGAGGATTTCTCCACAAATCTGGCTGTTGCCTGATGATGCTAGTTGTACTTACTGGCGAAACGTCATACTCAGATTGTAAATGTTGTGGATTTTCTCTCCAATACACCGGTGTGCTGTACTAGTAACGAATTAGCACGTTCTGTTTACGTGACAAACCTTACTAATTGGCTGTGTCGGGTGGTGGCGTGTTTAACGACACATTTATATTGATGTGATCTAACCAAAATAAAAACTATATTATGCGATGTGTCTCTCCCACTTCTGATTGTAATCCAAGTCACAGCCGGTGGTTTTGTGAAGGTACAATAAATGCGCTTTTTTAATCTGAATGTCATATCAAATAATTGTTATAGAATATCGCTGTTACTTTAAAACATGTAAAATGCATCTAATAAAACCTGCTTTGTGTAAAGCCAGATGTGGTCAAACATAATTTACTTCTCCATATACACCGTAATTAACTCATTCTATCCGCGGTACGTAATGTGTCGGGAGACGAATATCATGAATCCCTTTATCCGCTGGGTTTTCATAGATTTTTACTCCTCTTATCCGCCGCCCCCATAAACACGGATAACCCTGCAGATAACCTCCTATCTGCAAATTACATCTCACCTTAATGACATTTACATAGCGCCTTAACCAAGGCACTTCACAGAGAATTAAGAACGGTACCTATTAATGTAATGGTGGAGATGAGGTGAATAAAATAGATGAGACCAAGCAATGGGGCGAATCTGCGATGTGTGAATTCGGTGAAAGCAAAACTGGTGACAGTAAATGATGATGATGATGATGAATGGATTGAATGAATGTGGAATGAGTGATAGCAATATGATGAGAATATGAAGAGGGAACAGTAACGTTGGTGGCTATGAGGGGTCTATTAAGGGGTCGTGGAGCGAGCGAGGTGGAAATACGTGAGTTTTGAGTCTCGCAAATGGCAATAATCCATCGAGCTCCATGGATATGGAGCGATGGAGTCAGGAGCATAACTCGTGTGGGGCAGGCAGGGGGTACCCCGCTCACCTCCCACCCCCCCGTGACCAAAGCGACGAGTTAGTGCCCCCTAGACAACCATCATGAGATATGTTTTCAGCAACAGCCGTGTAGAAGAACAACACCTTGTTTGATACGCGATTTACATTTATTTTATAAAAAAAACGCTTTCACATAGAACTCCATTTCTGGGATGTTTATTTCATGAGATACGCGTCAGTTGTATTGCGAAGAGGTGTGACTACGGACTTGCAGTGGCTGCATTTTACAAAGCCGGAGCGCCCCGACAGCGTTAAATGTTCGAGACCGTGAGCGCAATGAGGCGAGTGGGCAAAGAGGAGCTTCGATATTATGCCTAGGTGCGACCGTGCGAGACAAATCAAATATTGAGGCCCCAACTGACCGATCGCCGCTGATGTCGTTACTACGCCACTGCATGGAGTCGACGCGTGTGCTAAACGTGTACACGGTGCACCGATTACAGTGCCGCAGGGCTTTGCTCGCGTGGTGCATTGTAAGGGTGCTATTACAGAGGGATGCAACGTGAGCTAGAACCTGCTGGGTAAGTTTTGAAACATAAAAAAACACTTCCAATTGAATACGTCATTAGTTTAGATACCTAACAGGTTGCTAGCTACTTAGGCAAAGTCATTTTACCGAAAGAACCAAAGAGTATGGATTCCTGCAGTCACGAAAGCTTCAAATCAAGATAGCCACTTAGGCATTTAAAATTTTAAACAATAATTCAAGCGTAATGTATAATGTTTTGTGTAACCATAGCTATTCATGTAATACATACCAACTGCAATACTCTGTGTGCTTTAGCTAAATCCGTCCACCCTTTGTGAATCCATCGCTGGATGAAGGCCTCATTACACCATGTTTGGTCATGTGGCTTGTTAAACCATACATAACATTACCACACCACTACATTTAAGACTACATTGATCAAATTTTGATTTAAAGCTTTCGTGACTGCAGGGATTCATATTCTTGGTTCTTTCGGTAAAGTCACCACGTAGAAGGGAAACAATAAAATAATAAAAATATAAAACAATAAAATTCTCACGACGCCTCGACTGCAATACAAGCAATCATCATCAGGTGTGAAAACCACAGCAATAATTTTTGTATTATTATTTTATTGTTTACCCTCCTACGTGATTTTAACCGAAAGAATCAAGACTACATTGATCAAGTTCAGACGGGAACCGTGGCTGGGATTCAAATTCAGGTTGCCGGGGGTTCATCGGGCAGTGCCCAAATTAGTGTGCCACCACTCCACGTCAGCTGGACGTAACGGTCGCTTCAAATGGAACACAGAGACATTGTACGCACACAAACTGCATACACCTTTGCTAAAATTATCGTGCATCATAACATCATCCACGGTGCTATCGTTTTGTGAAATTAACCTGAGACAAAGGTGATGTGCACAGGCCAAGAGGTGCAGCACACATGCTTAACCAACCCCACATGAATTATATACGTGCACGGTTGTGAGTAATTAGTGGCCGTGACATAACAATGTAGGCAGGTGCATGGGGCTTCCACCTCCCTTCTCTGTCACTTAAACTGTCACGCTAATGGGCCACGGAGGAATAATAAAGCCTCCTTATTTAAAGTGTCGAGTGTGCCCCCCCCCAACACGAGCTCACAATTTTGCGCGCAGCTATTCGGCCTCACAAAGCTTTGCTCGCCGTCCAAGAAGGGCCGACATTCAGTACACATGGAGAACACGTTGTCGTACTTGGCAGCAACTCCCCTCGATGTTTTTGTCATCGTGTTCAACGTGTGCTTGGCGACCGCGATCGTAATCTCGAACGCAATTCTGATCGGCGCTCTCCTAAATTCAAAGGGACTTCTCAAACACAACAACTACATTTTCATATTCAGTCTCACCGTCAGCGATTTCATTATGGGCGCCGGCTGGTTCTACAACGGAGTGTTTGACGTGCGCGACAACTTGGGCTCCATATATAGCGCTTCGAACGTCTTCCCAACGATTCACGGCATCTCTCTGCTCACCATGCTCTCGTCGATGGTGGACAGGTACTACGCCGTGTCCTCTCCGTTCAGCTATTCGCAGAAAATGACACGCGCCCGGGTGTTGATGGTCGTCCTCTGGATGTGGCTGTGGCCTTTTTTGACAGCGTTCGGCATGGCTTTCGTGAAGGCGGACGCCGCTCGCAAATACCAAGGTTACACGACAATAGCGGTGACCGTCTGTCTCCTGGTCATCATGACGGTGGTAAACCTCCGGCTGTATTTCATCACCAAAAGGCAGCTCAGCCGCGGCCCCGCCAACGACGAGGAGTCCAAGAAGAAGTCGGCGAGGCTCATTATCGTTGCGTCCACGGTCTTCATCGCCTTCTGGCTGCCAAGCCTGATCAACTCGAGCGTGTGTGGCGGCTTCGGCCTGTGCTTCCCTCCGCATAGAAACAACCTCAATCCAGTGAACGTGATTCGAATGTTCAACACGCTCAGCTCCCCCATCATCTTCCTCGTCGGAAGCACTCTGCTGAGGAATTCCATAAAGAACCTCGCTCGCCGCTTGCTTTGCAAAAGGTAACACGTGCGGGTTTGGCGGAGGAATAGCCTTGTTTTGGGGAATGGTGTCAAGGCGTGGCGAGTTCCTACGGAGAGAGTTGATGCTCTGCACGTTTTGTGCTTTTATTTGGACGTCAAGGAGGCGCCCGTACCCTGGCTCGCCAGGAGAAGGCAATGCAGCAAAACACGTGGACTGCACATTGTCCTTCTATACAGGATAGAGTGTTTCCACCTCGCACACGTGGGGTTTTTTTTTGGCTGAAAACACCTTCATTCATTGAGGACTGCAGAGCTTGGGCAATTGTTGGCGCCGGCTCATCGCGTTGCTGCCTTCCCGCTTGTCTGTGGTTCCTCATGCCTTTGAGTCGAGCTCTCTCTATAAGTTGAAATTATGTAGATATATATATTTTTATATATTACAGGTTATAATTGATTACCAAACATTTAACATTCCAATAAAATAGCGTACAGACATTCTTAGTTATTTGGAGATGCATACATGCGTACAACAGTTCTTTTCACTGTTTTGCGGTGCATTTGTTCCATTTTAGTTGTTGATAAAAAAAACCCACCACTGTCATAACCGCATTAGGGATGGAACAGCGACCAGAGTTTGATTTCCCAGGCATAGCTTGCATTCAGTGGCGAACAATAGTTCACCAAGATCCTGGGCCACCCCTTTCACCATAGCACACTGACCAGATGTTTTCTTGTTCATGTTTTTGTTTTTTGTTTGTTGCGGTTGCACCCGATTCAAGAGCCGAATGGCTCACAGGGCTTTACCAAATGAATGGAACTATGGAACCAGAGTGGTGAAGTATGGCAAAACAAATCCCAAAGACCGATACAGCATAGGGAAGTCTTCATCCAGCATGCAGTGACATGACAAAGGGTTATAACTCTAAACGTAGGCTTTCTCAACCATTGTTAGAATTCATAAAGTTTATTCTGGGTTAGATCGTGTAGGTATAATGTGCCCGTGTTTTAAACTGTTATTAGTACTCCATAATAGAGGGTTTTTTGGGTTAGATCATGAAAATATACAAATGTGTCGTTAAAACTAAATGTTGTGGCTTGGCTCTCCAACACACCGGTGTGCTGTACTAGTGACGAATTGGCACGTTCTGTTTATGTGACAAACCTTACTAGTTGGCTGTGTCGGGTGGTGGCGGGTTTTAACGACACATGTATATATTTACGCCATCTAACACAAAAAAAAACCTCTTATGAATGATTTTTGTCGCGAAAGCCTGTGTGTTAAACTGTTATTAGGACTACGCTTTTTTCATATTCATGATGACAATACATTTAATAAGATCTACGGTATTGTTTTTACGATTTGTGTGCTTAATTCCAGATCTGTTCATCCAAATGTTGGTGCAAGAGAGAGGAAGGACGGCGGTGGATCGATGGTAGCAGTGGTGGAACATTGAGCATGAAACACCTCTTACATTTGTCACGAGGCAATGTATACCCAACGGCCATTGCCTCCAATTACGCCGCACTCTCTGATACAAATACACCTCCAGCTTAGGCCCCGCAAACACCTCATGCAACAGAGCAATCTCACATCATACGCTTCAATTGAACCGTTTTAGCTGTTCCTTTATATGTTTTTTTTTACATCAGTGGGTCAGGGAAATTCTAAGTCGTACACATTTCATAAGTTAATTCGGGAGATTGGCAAGAACTTGATTGTTCTTACCACAACTATGCACATTTGCACAACAATGTATGCAGGTTAATACAGTAAACAATGGGTGTTTTGTTTTCATCTACTGTGAATGACATTCAAGATGTATCTGAATGATTTGACCATTTGGCCTGCTTCAGGATATACTGACACAAATTAGCTGAGTTTTTAATCCTGGCCATGGCTAACATCGGTGGCAAATGATGCCTCTAATGGTGCACCAGTACTCTCCATCAGCCTTCAGGAACCGAAATGGCGCTGGTGAGGCTTTCATCCAGCAGTGGATTGACAAATTGGCATACATTACTATTATTACTATTTATTATGATATTATCAAGCTAGTGGGGAATATGCAATGCAATCTATGATATAGGTAGTACATAAAGTAAGCAAAGAAATATATTAGTTACTTTATAAGTAATTAGGATTTTTAACCGACAATTTTAATATACCTGTACAGGGTGATGGAACATATTTCTGCAGTGAATTAGTTATCCCCTGTCCCTGCGGGCCGTCAGTCCCTGGATGGACTGAAGATAGAAATTACCCCAGTGGTAAGGGACATACAGGCAGGAGAATTGAGTTGCGTGTCTGAAAAAACAGTGTCAACATATACGTTTCTGTTTGAATATCGAAGGTTTACAATGCAATCAATGAGCGAGATTCAGTTTTACTGCACATTAGGATTTTTAATCAACATTTACATTTAATTGAGATTTTGTTTTGAGCGGTTTAATGTTTTCAGTTATGCTTCAATCTGGATGTGTGCATAACTAAAATGTTAAAGGTATGATTAATCATTGGTTTTGGATCAGATATCGTAAGCACAATGTGTGTCGTACACCCTGCTCCACTCGACAAGGCCCGTTCATAAAGTTGTCACGTGATGAACAAAACGTGCCAATTTATTGCCGCTACAGCAGCACCGCTGGTGGTGTCGGAGAGCAATCCACAACATTTAACAATTGGATGCACAACAAAAATCAGTCGTGAATTACACTATTGTTAGTCGCAAAAAAACGTACGTGTTTAAATGTATTAAAGCTATGTAGCACACAGAACGGGGTGGCCTGAAAGTTAGTACTGTCTACGGAATTGAGAAAATAACGAGGCGTGTTTATCTCAGTAAACTAACCTTTGGTCGACGCAATTGTATACACATAGCAGTGGGATAGATCATGGCTGGTGAAAATAATGAATCATATTCACTTACACAACTCGGTACTTCAGCCCTCGCCCTATACAGCTCGTTTGGGAGACTTTCTCCACGCTCGTGTGGGGTGGGTGGGTTATGACAACCCAGTAAATGTTCGTCGTAGTTAGAGAGAAACGTGAACGCGTTGTTAGTTTTTTTTTAAACAGCAATGGGTATGGCAACCATGGTAGGCAACAGCGTGTGCACTCGCCCGCGTGAATTGTGTTCGTGTGCGAAATAAAAGTCTTGGAAGTTCAATTTGTGGCGCGTGCCGGCTACGACCGTCGGTCATTTTCTTCGCACCGACACGAGAGAGCTCCTGTTGGTATGCGTCCAACGCAGGAAAAAAAACACACACAAGGAGGCAGCGTCGCGAGAGCCACCGCCCATCCTGAAATCTTTCGGCAGAATGGAGGTGTTATATATCGGGCCAATTCCCCTTTGAAATAGTTGTCGGGACGGCACTGATCCTAAGCGAAACCCACAAGCCTGGTCCGACGCACCCCTCCGTCGCGCTAATTAATCCCTGCTGCGGTTCCCAGCGACGGTTCGCGTGCCCACCGTCACAACGACCACTGCTGAAAACGACGCCTTTATATATAGATAATGGGAAGGAGGAATAATAATAATAAGAAGAGACAAACCCAACACAAAGGAGGGCTGAGCACAGTCGTCGCGCGCGCCCGATCCCCAGGGGGCGGGTGGTGCCGAGCGATGGACAGCGGAGTCGCTCGCTCGCTTGGCAAGAACGCCGGGCGACGTGACCCTCGTCGCCTTCCACGTTTGCCTGGCCACCCTCGTGACGGCCAGCGACCTCGCGTTGATCGTCACCCTCGTGTGGGCGCGCAGACTCCTCAGAAAGAACACCTACACCTACACGTTCAGCATCGCCGTGAGCGATCTCCTCGTCGGCATGGGCTGGTTCTACAACGGGATCGACAACGTGCACGAGGGGCCGGGGTTGGCGTACAGCGCCGAGACGATCTTCCCGATGTTCCACCCTGCTGACCGCGATGGTCGATCGCTATTACGCTGTGCAGTCCCCCGTTCAGGTACGCCCGGAAGATGACGAACCTCAAGGTGGCGGTCATCATCTCCGTCGCGTGGATCCACCCGATCTTGACCAACGTGGGCACGTCGATGAACCCGGGCGGCGGGAGTCTCACGTACAACGGCTACACCGCGATGATATTCAACATCCTCATCCTCGTCGTGATGCCCTTCCTCAACGTCCGGCTCTACGTGGTCACTCGGCGGCAGGCGAGGAGGACGCCGTCGGCCAACGACCGCTCGGCCCACGTGATGATCGTCGCCTCGGGACTCTTCATCCTCCTGTGGTCACCCACCATGGTCCACTCGAGTATCTGCAAGGCGTCCGGCGCGTGCCAAAGGTTCGCCAACAACGCCTCGAACCCCTTCGTCACCACGCGGATGATCAACACCCTCGTCACCCCGATGGTGTTCCTGATGGGTAGTCCGGCCACGAGGGCCGCCTTCAAGGAGCTGACGCATCGGCTGGGCAGGAGAAGGTAGGCTGCTTGCGCAAGGCCAGCCCTTGCGCTATCGTCAGGTTCACGCCACCTGCCACGGGTGAACTTGCCACGGTCACCGCCGTGGCAAGTTGGATAACGGGGCACAGCTCTCTAATTGAAGCTCTTGCTGGACGTCTGTGTGTGTGGGGGGGGGAAGAGCTTTATAGCTCATCGGATTCCTCCAGTATAAATGGATATTCTGATTCTGAACACGTGGAGCGAAACGTCGGGGATCGCACTGAACGACAGATCGGATTGCTGCTATACAGCACAACCGCGAAAACTTACTCGGTAGTCATGTTGGAGGGAGAGGTGGGGGGGGGGGGGGTTGTTTGGCTATACTTCACCACGCTGGTCAATGCGGGTCGGTGAAGGGGTTGAGGGTGGGGAGGGGGAGACGGTTCAGGGCTGGTTCAGATGTATACCGCACGCCAATGATGTTAGCCGTGATCGGGCATCTCACTCCGGACGCGGGGTTAATTAAAAGTGTGCCGCTTGCTGCTGTCATGGTATACACGGTCAAATCGCGCTTGTAAGTAAACGTGCTTTGGAACGCACTACTACGTCCAAAATCATATAATACATCTGTTGCAGATCTCAGCGTAATGTCTCTGATAGGGGGAACTCACTGCCCCGTTCTCAAATGACAACGTGGTGCGTGCCTCGTGGCATACACGGGTTTGATTTCACTCTTGGACGCGTCAACGTCATTAAAACTACCAGGACAGCAACGGCCACGAAGAATGAGCAAAATAAGCGTCACGCGAAGTAGCGATCCGTCGATTAATCTCGCCCTTCGGACACACGCGTCGCAACGTGCACGCGAGAATAGATTGCGAACTCCGCAAAATTACGTGAGTGCTGTGGCACGCCGATTTCGCGTTCAGGCTAATCAAGGACGTTTGATTTGTTTAATGGGTCGGTGCCGAGGGATTTGCCGGCGGTGGAGAATTGTGATTGTGTTTAGACGCCCTCACCGATGGGAAACCTTACGATAGAGCTCGTGTCGATGATGCCATAAGCTATAAGGAAAAAAAAAACACACACAAAGCTATGGACAAAATAAATTGAATGGAGGAAAAAACATCCAGTGGTTGAACAAAATCCAACGATTGGACACACGTACGAGGTGTCCGAACAAGAATATACCCCAAAAAATATTAAATTGTTGTATTGTTATTCGAGATACCGACAATGTAATATGAATATATTTAATATACTTCTAAGTTTTAGTTATTTTATGGTATTGCTTGGATATTCCTGAATTATGAATATACTTCTGCATTGCGTCCATCATTCATTATAGTCAATCATTCACTGTGATAAATCTAATTCGGCGTTCAAACTCGGAGACAACGTTTTCCAACACAGCCGTAGGGATGGATGATGACACAGCATCAACAACAACACGATGTTTAAGTTATTCAAGGTCCCTTGATGTGCTAGTGTAGACTTTACTTGAAAATAAACACCACAGAGATAAAAAAAAAATATAATGGTGTTAAGTCGGGTGTAAGGGTCGGACTTGTCATTATAGCAGGAAATGGGGTGCCACCTAAAAAAATATACCAATCGATATTCACAACAAACTAAAACTTATACGTGTAATGCATGTATTCGTATCGAATGTATGTTAGTATCTCGAATAACAATAACACGATTTAACTTTAAATATGGGACTTAAAGCTTCCGTAACTGCAGGAATTCATACTCTTTGCGTATTTCGGTAAAGTCACGTAGACAGAAAAAAAATAATTAAAAATCACGACGTTTCGATCGCAACACAAGCAATCGTCTTCAGGTGAAAAAAATACAGCAGGCGGACTGCTGAGGCAGGAAGAAACATAGCTAAAGATTTAACTTTATTTTTCAGTATATTCATTTTCGGACACCCTGTGTATTCGTGGACAGCACCCATTGCTGCGCTTACATCTCCCCTGGCACCTCGCAGCCATTTCGTGTAGCTCCAAGCCTTGTAACAGCACCTGCTTAGGCACCTGTGATCACCCGTACGAGTAGCAACTCGGCTCAAAAGTCTACTTCGCTTCTGAGATCCGACAAGATCAGGCTCATCGAGGAAGATTTGTTTGAGGTCACTACTGTGCTCTAAATTGAAAACTCATTTCTTTAGAACTGATTTTTTTTTGTGCGTGTTCAGTTTGTTGTCCTTCCCCCCGCGCCTCCAACTAGCACGGTTGGCTACGTACGGTGCGAAAGAAGTTCAGCATACGTACTGCAGTATAGAGTGGGGCGTTGGCGCAGTGGTAAGCGCACTGCACGATGAACCCGGCAACCGAGGTTCTTCCAAATCGGCAGCAATGATATCTGAACCTTAACTGGGCTTTCACCCTTCACCAACCCGTAATGATCAACATCGTGAGTTATGGCCAGAACATGACGGGAATGGCGATGGGAGGCCTTTTTCCAGCAGCGGGTTAAAAAAGAAGCTGTAAATTGCTACTCTAATACGTCCTGGAATATAACAAACAACACGCAACCAATGTCAACTAAACTGTGTGTGTCCCTTTTGTTTTGCAGAACTGTGAAGCCACTGCCCAGGTTGAATGATCCACCACCCAACAACAACTAAACACGTGTAAAAGAGAGAAAACAAAACAGTACTGCAATAGCAGTTTAGATGGTCTACCTGCATTTCACAGGACACAACACACATACGCAAATATATCATAAACGTTGCCTTTATAAACATTATAGTTGCAAATGGTAGGGGAAATACTAGAGGGTCAGAACAAAACATGATATCTCTACAAGTTTGAATCGTTCACACTTCTATTTACCGATATCGGTTTCGGTTGTTTCTATACGCTGCCGAAAATCATTTAGAAAATCTCAGTCAAGCATCTGTTCAACCATTGATGGAATACTTGAATATATCCATAAAAACTCCTGCACGTTTGTGTGCACTGAATATTGCATTTATGTAAAATTGTACAATATTGTTATGATTTGAAAGCATGAAAGAACCTGCTTTAAAAAAAACAATTGTTGCTTATAATGTTTAAAGTTATGTATTACATTGTACATATTGTGTCCGCTACATTTTTTAAAAATAGCTTAATTTTTCCCAAAATTTTTTTTCAAAACTATTTGTGCTCAGTCCTTAACATTTTCCTAAGAACTTTGGAAATATTTCACCTGTGGCCAAATCACCCTCAAGTGTACCCTAGGTCATCAGATCTCGAAAGCTGAGCGTGGCTTCGCCTGGGTAGTCCACTCGTTTGAAACTGCCTTGGCGATTCCCAACTATCGTCTCGGCTTGGGCTGCAGGCTAGCGAGTAGGTAGCAATACCACTATGGGTCATGGAATCTATATTTGTGGAGCTTTGAGAGTTACCCCTCTCGTGCATGACTTTATCCGTGTACTCCGGTTTCCTCCCACGCAAAGCTACCCACATTTCAATGCAGGACCCTCCTTAAAATATTCAAGAGTGCTTTTCCTGGATAAATAAAGGACGTTATTATTTATTAAGCTGTTCTCACGCTTCTTTCTTTTTTTCATATGAATACTTGAATGGAATAAAATAAACTCAGCACATTATACAAGAGCAGATGTAAATGTGTCCAAAAGTTTAATTGCACGGCGGAACATCAGGGAGTGTAACAAAATCTCATAACGTTTCACAACATGAAAAGGACATTTCGAACACACTTTTGCGTAACTTTGCAATGTGCGTGCATTTATCAGCATAATTTAATGCCCTCTAAGCGTACATTTGAATGTGTCTCTGAATGTCCCAGCACTAATTGTAGGGCCTACATATCTTGCACCCGTGTAGGCAAATACAGGGGGCTACGCCAATTCTTGTTGCTTCATGTCCTGTCGGACTAGCGAGCCGCAGTTTAAGCCAAAGGGAAATATGAAAGTGACATGCACCCCCCACAGACGTTGCCTGATGCCAACTCTCTCTGAAACAAGCAATGGCTTCGAGCATGCAACTTACACAGGGCCAGATTTAGGCACCGGCTCAGTAAGCTGCAGCTTAGGGCCTCACATTATGAGGGGCCTCTAAACACGAAAACCAAACAGTGCGAAGCTTCAAGTTTGACATAATCGGTTGAAAGATACAGGCGATAGGCAAAACAGACTCTCTAAAACGGTTATTTTTACTTCGATATGACAAAAATACAGAGGTATTCCTCCATGCGGCCTCTTATGCATAGCATACGGTCCTAGCATGTCATAACCCGGTCCTGAACTTATAAAACTGGTGAAGAGTTATTTTGACGTACTTAGAATTGCATTTAACATATGCCTGTCATTTGCCAAATGACTGCAGAGTGATAGCCTACAGTGAGTCAATTAAAACATGTCCGCTTTTATCACATTATTGTATCATCCGCCCGTTACAAACAATGCGGATGCCCAACTTTTATTTCAGTTCAACGTGTGCAACGGCTTCAAAATACTGTGTGCGTGCGGTGCATTTCCACAACAATTCTAGGAGTCCACTCACTCACGACAACCGTGAATACTCAAAGCAACCCCAAACTCCTTTTCAGGACTATTAAGCCAAAATGTTAACACCTCACGTGTGGACTGACGATGACGGACAGCAAGCACGGTGACATGCTGTTTAAAGAGCACCCTGCAACGCAACACGATTTTTACGAACTCGGTAAGAGGTGTAGGCACGCTCACACCACTGCTGGTGGATGGGGCCTTCGCGAGAGGAAGCTCAAGGGCACGGGGTGGGCAACCTGAGGCTGCCGAGCCGCGTGCGGCTCTTTAAGGGCTGCGGTGCGGCTCTTGAAATGCGAAAAGATAAATGTCTTCTTGTTATTTTGGTTGCTGACCCCCTGAGCACGGAAGTCGAGTTTACCATGGAAGTCCAGTTTACCATAGAAGTCCAGTTTACCATGGAAGTCCAGTTTACCATGGAAGTCCAGTTTACCACAGAAGTCCAGTTTACCACGGAAGTCCAGTTTACCACAGAAGTCCAGTTTACCATGGAAGTCCAGTTTACCACGGAAGTCGAGTTTACCATGGAAGTCCAGTTTACCATGGGAGTCCAGTTTACCATAGAAGTCCAGTTTACCACAGAAGTCCAGTTTACCACGG